GAAATAACATCTATTCTTTGAGAATATGGCTATTTACGGGTATTTATTATATTTGTGCCCGTAGAAAACTAGCTATTATAAGATATTGAAAAGGAAGTAATTGTTATCATAAAGTTAAGGCAAGATTAGTAGAAGACTTTTATATTGTAACTCATGCGATTACGAAGCGTAAGTCAACTAACTTTTTAATCTCCATTTATTTTAATCTCCAAAAATCCCCTGCTAATGAATTTGAACCTTAAAGATACAATTATGTGTTTATAGAGAAAGATTTTGGCATCATGGTGTTGTTTATCAGCTATTATTATTTTGTAACTATGTGTTTTTATTGATATAATTATATGAGGCGCTTATGTGGAAAGTTTAAACTAAAAAAAGGAATTTCATCTTTAAATACTCATACAAATTACAAAAGAAAATTGACTAAGTATTATGAATAATTTTAACAACTAGTGAATAGTGTCTTAACATCATAAGAATAAGAGTGATTATCCTTAACACGTGATAAAACCAGGACAAGCGGTGGCATTAATATCAACAAACTTGAGCATACAACTTGCCAAGCCTTAGAAAATTTTTGCAATATTACTCTTTGGTATCAAATAACACTTAAATATCGGATGTGATTATGAAGACTTCATAAATTTTCATCCACCAGACAGTAGTAGAAGTATGTCAATGACTCCCGAATACTGAAACGCTACTCAATTTTAATTCTTAAGTATAGTTCTGCCACTACATATTCTTTGTAAAATGACAGAGATGGGACAATATTTAAATACATTTTTTGTAATGGGAAAAGCCCACCACATGCTCCCAAAACCGCTGCAACTCCTATAAGCCAGGATCTACAGTACAACATACAGATACAACCACGAAAACACCGGAATACTGAAGTACGGCGCGTCTCAGGGACATGATTAACTGTCTTGGTTCCCGCAACGAAGTGAATCAGAAGATATTATAAGAGGAGAAGGAAAAAATGTCAGTTTCCACTTCCTTCGGTTAATTACTGCAGGAGACAGAATGAATTAACTTAAAATTGATTAGTCTTTCAGTATTCGGACGTTAATGACATAAAAGTGCTAAAATAGTGTATAAATCAGTTCGACAAATAATACCTTTTATATGAAGCATATTTAGGCACCTTTGATCATAAACCAACAGAAAAATAAATTCATTAAAAAAATACCTCTAAATAATCACAGACAACGACACTTTGCAAAAATTCTCTAAAGCCCGTAAAACAATACCCGAAGGTCATTTCCGAAACATACGTCATTTCCCGTTTCTCTGTACACTTCCTAGAATACCTAGCCACAAAAGTCAAACAGTGCAGAAAAGATTCCGGCGTAGTCTTAATTCACCTTGAGACCTTGAACTAATTTCTGCGGAAATCAGCGTACTGAGTTGTGTATTGCTATTGGTAACTGATGAATTTTTGGAATAGGGAACAAGGTCAACTATAGTCAGTGTCACTTATGGGCACCTGCACTCACACTCACACAATCACTTTGACTAGATTTTAGTGTTACATTGTTCTCGCACAATCCAAACAGCAAACTATGTAACTAGAGAATTGTATTGTGAACCTGATTGAAAAAGAGTAACCTATGGAGTTTCTTGCTCGTTCTTCTCCATAGGAATATACACCTTGGAATGAGCAAATAGCTTCAATTTTAATTTTATTATTGACGTTCAAAAGTGCCTTTCTGGTCTAATTGAAATAAATGATTTTGACTTTGACTTTGACTTTGACTAGAGGAGTTACAAATTCGTTGTTGGCCTTATGGCAAAAGAAATCGGGCCTCCAATAACCACATAACGATCGACGACGTCTTACCCTAAGACGTCGATGCACTTAGCGACAATGTACCCGCTGGTTTTCTATAAGGCTGTAGTATCACTCCGGTCGAGCCGAGCGCCCATACGTGCCAAGTATGGCCATCTCAAAAATTTGCTAGTTTCCTAGGTTAAAAATAAATTGTTTCAACTTTTCAATGCAATAACTAATTAAAAAATAATCATAGTCTCATCCATTGATTTGACAATTTACCTCATTTTGGATTTTTCTCGCTAATTTTAAGGTAATAAGTATGCAGAAATATTATGACGTCATAAATGTTGTGATCCAATAAAAAAATCATAGAAAAGTATAGTTTATGACATTTCAATAAAAGTACTATTGAATTTGACTACCTGTCAACTACCGTATTATATCCAATAACAATATATCCATTAGACGCTAAGCATTAACGAATATTTGATACCTTTTTCTAGTATTGACTTTTGTGGCTAAGCATCTTCACACGAATTCTCACATTCTATATCTCACAACTAATACATTTACCGCATCTCATGCTGTTGCAACTTTATTGGACTTCCTTCTCAATCTTTCACTTGAAATCTATTTATGTCATTCATCTTAATATTACGAATTAAATGGCACTTTAAGCTTTGATACACAAAGCAGTTCAAAGCCGATATATCAAAAAGATCTACTAACAGGAGAAACTAATTGTAAGATGCAGCGACATGAGACACTAGTAAAAATTAACATTAAAATAAAATTATCGCAAAAATGTTCGCATTTGCTTGTTCTGATGGTTCAAAGACGTCTGAGCTCTATCAGCTTGATTAATTAACTGATCCAGTTTACTAATCTGTGTATTTACTTGTTTTCCAATATCTTTAGCAGCTGCCTTACCCAATAACGACGAATTTTCCTCCATCTTTTTTAAATCATCTAAAGCGGTGTTAATGTCGCCGCCATTTTGTTTTGATTTTCCCGCGCGCGGTGTCATTTCGTTGTCGCCGGGACCAAGGCCCTGGTTTATGGAGCCGTTTTCTGAAGTAGGTGGGATATAATCTTTATCATAATTCGTCTGGCCTACGTAGCTTGGTTCACTGGAATAGGATAGGTTGTCCTTCGCAGACATTTTAACGCGAAAAAAATTGGTGATCGTACCGCATACTCCCTGAAAATTTCGTAAGAAAAGTTTAAATATTTAGCCTAAGTCTCTCGCTGTAGTTAAAATGATAGTAAATGTATATTTATGTCAGTTTTGCAAAGGGGGACATATTATTAGGCACATTTTTTTACGTAGATGGTATCCAATTTTACAAAAGGGGGTATATTTTTTGTGTAGATAGATACCAAGAAGATTATCGGGGTGGTTTTTTCGAGGACATAGTTAAAGAAGCACAGGGGGGCATACAGGATAGTTCTGTTAGTCCTAATGTTAACCAAGGACGTTGCAAAAAAGAATGAAAACTGATTGAAGTGAAAATGATAAAAAAATTACCTTTAATTTATTGATTTTAGTTTGAGTAGAGTCAAGTATTGTGTTCAGTTCGGCTAGGCCACCCGTACCCTCCTTTAATTGGTCATCTAGCATGGCAGTGTTCTGAAAATATTATCACTTATTGTTATTTAATGTAATTAAATACTTATAAGTAGAATACACATTATATATAAATATTTATTTATTTTACACTTTATTGTACACCATAAAAACATATAGAGAAAAATAAAAACAATTAAATGTGTACAATCGACGGTCTTATCGCAAAATGCAATTTATTACAAACAATCTTTGGATGGAGCCAGAAATCAGGAGTTGGAAAAAATATAAGATGTTGTGTAATTCTTTTCATATTTACCCTAAAGTGTCACTGTAAATAATATGATAGGTCCATATTACCTATGTATTACATAATACTGGTTAAACGGAACAAAATGATTTGTCTGTAAAGGGTTTTTTATGACCACGTATACTAAAAAAATATAATACATGTAGACCTATTAGACCTTCATCTCAAAATAATTAATAATCAGAAAAAAAATAATACCTACTTATTTAAATCCCGTATTTTTTATGCTACCCTTCTGTATCGGTCAAGGTTTACATTACTGGAATAGGTTTTTACAGCCCCATTCCGAACCACATTACATCCTTGACCCCATTCTTACTCTCAACTCGTAAAAATAACCAGCAAAGAAGTACCAAAAATATTCATGTACCAAGAATTACAGAAAGCCTTTCGGAAACGAATTATCCCATACACGGAATGGAAAATCTACGTCAAGGAAAAAGGTTTCATACCTCTGCCGTTCGAATTTCCACTTCTTCAAATTCTACAACATCTAAATGTTTATGTTTTGACAAAAACTCTCCACGATCAGGCACTGGCTGGCCAAATAACTCAGCCCTAGTACACGCATCTTCATACGCCTTCAACGACATTTTTAAAAACCACTACCGAATCTATTAGGCACTTTTTACAAGAAGATCTATCAACGAATAAATAATTCACGGAAGAAAACTGACAGATTAGCGTTTTGGCGCAAGTGTCTCGTAAGTAGACCTTCCGTTGTTCAAATTATTGATTTTACAAGATACGTCGTATTACTTCCTAACTTCACTCAGTTATATGTAATTATAATAGGAAATCGTTAAAATATATTTTTGGGTTGCTTTTAGTAACATTTCATTTATAAACAATCAAAATTAACATGTTTTAATCGCTCGATAAATTACCACAGCTAAAATAAATTTTGAATTTCGCGCGTAAATGTGAATGTTGCCAGTTGTATCATATTGACATTCAGATAAGTAATTAATATTATTTCTCCGTGTTGAAAATGAGTATATTATTTAAAATTAACCATTACTTTTTGCTAGTAAAATAATAACATTTATTAAACATGCAATAAGTCTATTCAAAATTCAAAGACAAAAGAAGCTCGCTTTAGATCAGCTGCTGATAGGGTCAATAACCTGAAGAATGAACTTTTGAACCACTTCGGAACAGGTTAATGAATGAGTTAGAGCGAGAAGGCAATATGTTTCTATTCATTCCGTCAACCAATAGGAACGCAGCTACTTTCATGACCCTTATCGTTGAGAAAATAAAGATTAAAATGTTTACGTTTCTATTGCGGCCCGGCTTTGGGAAAATGGAAATACCTTGTCATCTTTTATTTCATTTCAAAATAAATGCTTGTAAAATCATTTGCCGCAGTCATATTGAAGAGTCGGACGGTTAATTTGTTACGGAAGCCCACCGCAACTATGTCGTCAGGTATAGAGACTAATTTTATTCCGTTTTTAACTAGAAAAATCAAACATAACCTACTTTATTTGTACGAAATAACAAACGCTTATTTTGAGTAGCAACTTCATCTTTTTTTTCTTTTGTTCAGTGTTTGTACTTTTGCTTTGGTGTGTTTACTTTACACAAGATCTTTTGTGACGAGTTTATAGCTGTGTCACTTTTAATACGAATGCAATGCCACTTATACAGAAATAAAACAACATTTTAATGATCTAATACGACTCAACAAAATCTGAATATTTAGTTATTGAACCTCATTACACAACAAATTAATTTAAAAAGTAAAAACGCTGTCACTTTTACTTTTTATTTACCACAACAAAGTCTGTATATCAAATAGAACAAAATGTCATCCTGATTTGCCGAATTTTTCTTATTTTACATTTTTGAAATATTTACAAATACTCCTATCACCATGAAATGAATAATATAATCAAGTTACCAGTACATAATGGAGTAATAATTAAGTTTTTAAGATACAGCACACAAATAGACCATAAAGGTAAAGATTTTCAATAATTTTATGAACATTTAGGAATTAGCAATTGGTTTTATGAATTTAATGTTGATGTTTGTTAGTAATGGCTGCTAGTAATTTAGACAATGATAGGAAAAAGGCTTGAAATATAAGAGGATATTTTATTGGGATCTGCTGTATAAATGATTAAATTGTAATAACTACCTAAGCATAGAGCCAGTATTTGTTAGTTTTTAAAACAAATCATTACTTTTATGAATGGAAACATAAATAAAACTTATTTACAATTACATAACACATTGTTATCTGCATTTTGAAGGATAAGTATTAAAATATCTAAGTTTATTTACTTCAAAATGACAATAAAAACTAACTTATAGGTAATATTAATAAACTAACTTAAAATTAAATATGTATTCTTAGTAAAAGTCTTATAATATTCTTAAAAACAGCAGTTTTATAGTGTAGTTGATGCATGACAGTATTGTTATCTTTTATTACATAGGATTCTAGTGATAAAACTATTAAAATATATGTCTAAATATTATAAATATATCTTATGTACTTGTATTAATTAAATTTTTGTTCTCTTTCAGTTCCATTGAGCCTAGACATCTTATCAAAGTTCCGTAGCGACTTCTACTCCGATCCTAAAAATGAACTTGCACAGAATGTATGCACAAGGTTTGATCCGTTCGAGGTTGCAATCAGCAGAAAGAAGACTGAAACCACCTTACATGTCTATAATATCAAAGTAAGTAGACAATACTTACTTCTTTTTACTTCTAAGTAGGTACTGTCCGTACATAGGTACATACATATTTTTTTAAAAAGAGTAACGAATTGAGTTTCTTGCTCGTTCTTCTCCATTCGAATCTACTTTTTGGAATGGGCACCTAGCTTCACCTAGTTTCACTGACGGACTGACTGACAGACTATTATTTATTTTGTATTTGTTGACATTTTAAAAGTACCAAACTATGGTTTAATTGAAATAAATGCTTTGACTTTGACTTTGAGTAACAAAAGTATACGAGCTGCCTTCTAGTAAGCGGTCACCGTAGATCACAAGCGTGTTTCTAACTATGTAAGAAACTGTTTAATTAATTTACTTTGATACTATAATCCTTTATAGATCCTTCCCCTATTTCTTTTGTTTTTCACTTTATTAGTTATTGTACAAAGTAAGAATGAAAGTAGTGTTATGAAAGGTTTTAGTAAAAAAGATGTTAGTCATTAGTGGTTACATAGACTCATGATTGGACAGATGCGGGATATAAGCCAAGTACGCAGTAATCGTAACCGAAGTGCTCGCCGTAATCGTAACCGAAGTGCCCGCCGTAATCGTAATCGGAGTGCCCGCCGTAATCGTAATCGAAGTGCTCGTAATACCAGACGCCTGATAGAGAAGGAAGCTAAAGAAGTATGTAATGGCCCTAAGTAGGTTGTGTTCTGTAGTTTCAGCTTACCGCTATAGGATAAATACGAGACATAAGGTGAATCTTTTTTTTTATATTTGATGGGCCGACGTTTGACCACTATCTCGCCTTATTTTAATCTGGCGGTTGACGACCATGTAAAAACCTTTTAATGAATGATCTCATGAAATATCCCGTCCCATTCTAGATCTTCTCATTTTTGTTGTGTTAGGGTTGTATATAACTGTGTTTTAATTTGTATATTAATTTATTTGATTATTCTCCACCCAAAAAATATTTAGGAAATTAAGCACAGGTCTTTTCTCGTATTAAAAAAAAACGAGTATTGAATTATTACTATTGCATGAAGCGGACATTGCCTAGATGATAACATGTTTAATAAATAAAAAGGATCTAGTTTTCTTTCTCTTGTTTTATAGATATTATCCTGTTCCAATCCTAGTAGTCATTCTAAACTGGTTTACAATATGAAACTAGTTATGATTAGTAATAGTTGAATCTTGATTAAAGTTCTTTTATTGTATTGAATGCTTGTACAAAACAAATATTATGGAAATCTCTTTTTTAAATAAGGAAAATCTTCCTCTTAAGTTACAAACAGGTATTAAACAATTTTATACCCTAAATCCTGATACATAAAGTAATTTTTGCTTTCCTCTTACATTACAAAGCAGGTATTAACCAATTATATACCTAAAATCCTTGTGTTTAGAGTTATCTTTTCTTCAACAGATTGATTCTGAAGCCAAGCCGGTGACAAACCAGGAGAACTCTGGCCGTTGCTGGCTGTTTGCTGCCCTCAATGTGATGCGTCTGCCTTTCATGAAGAAGTATGGCATTGAGGAGTTTGAATTCTCACAGAGGTAACTATGTGATTTTTTTTGTCATTACTACTGAGTTTGATTTATGACTGATAGAGCAGATCTAAAGTAAGTAGTCTAGATCTTGTTTTTGTACATTTTAGACGTAACTGCTACAAATTAAGGCATTATAATTGATGATATGATAATATAATATGATTGTTAAGTGCATTATTAGAGAAAGGTGTGGATTGAAAGACGATGTAGTGACAAGAATTGAAAAGGCAATGTTACATGGCTACATGTAGAAAGGATGGATGAAAGCAGATTTACAAAAGAAGTATATAGAGAAAAATGACTGATGGCTAAGCTAGCGAAAAAGGTATGTAAGAATTCGCGTTTCATAGTCTCTGCCTACCTCCATGGGAGACAGGTATTAGGTTATGTATGTATAAGTTATAAGTCCACCTTTTTTCTACTGAGGCATTATGGATTATCACTATTTATATTATATAATGTAAGAAATGACATCCACAGCTGAATGGGCCTCCCTTACTAACTTTCAGATTTGCTGGATAATTTTATTTTATATTCAGAACTAGCGACCCGCCCCGGCTTCGCATGGGTGCAATATGCATGTATTATACATATAAACCTTCCTTACGAATCACTCTATATATTAAAAAAACCGCATCAAAATCCGTTGCGTAGTTTTAAAGATCTAAACATACATAGGGACAGACAGACGGCAGATAGCGACTTTGTTTTATACTATGTAGTACCCTTAACCGACGAGCATGCATGAAAAGATTGATGACTGTTAATGAAGCGAAAGAGGTATGTAAGAATCGTAGTAATTGGCGTTCCTTAGTCTCTGCCTACCCCCATGGGAGACAGGCGTGAAGTTATGTATGTATGTATGTATGTATGTAGTGATGATAACATCATAGTGACATACATAGAATTAGAATATTAGAATTCCACTGTAATATTATAAACAAAAAGCATAGAAATGACAAATGAAAAGCAGCCAAAAGTTAATGTAAATTATAATAATCAATCATTTTTTATTTTTTTATGCCATAAGCCGGTAATCAAGCAGACGGATCACCTGATGATAAGCAATCGGCGTCGCCCATGGACACCTGGAACACCAGAGGCGTTGCAAGTGCGTTACCGGTTTTTTGGGGATTAGGAGTTTGAGGATCGTTGGGGATTCAGGAATTGGGGAGATTGGGGAAGAGGAGGGTAATTGGGCCTCCGTTAACCTCACTCACACGACGAAACCCAACGCAAGCGTTGCTTCACGTCGGTTTTCAATGAGGCCGTGGTATCACTTCGGTCGAGCCGGCCCATTCGTGCTGAAGCATGGCTCTCCCACACTTTTTAGCATTGTATAATCAATTGTATCATATTATTACTTAGTTCGCAGAAAACAGGTGTAAGTAGATACTCATACTTACATATCGAACTATGCAAAAGCAGTATTAATTGATCGTCGATTGTGGGGAACGATCATACAAAGTTAGTCCAAGAGAAATTGGTTTTGTGTACCTTGAGGTGGCCATGTGTACATTGTGCAGACAATGCATGGAAACGCGGCGTCGTCTCGACGTTGTATTGATGATTTGTTATCGTTATTATCAGGGCCGCGCCGCCCCTGTGTGCGAAGTGTGCGGCGCACACAGGCGCCAAGACAATAGGGGCGCCGTGTCGCGCCACCACCTCTACTTGAATTATTTTTGTTACCTTAATTATTATATTTTTGGTAGTAGAGTATCGATAAGTAAGTAGGTACAATAGGCGCAACATAGGCCTTGTATACAACAAAACTTATATTACGCTTATTAAACAAGTCTCTCAATATTTATGTTTATTATTAATCACGTTTATGGTTTCATTTTACACTTAGGGTTTTAGTTTACATTACTTACGAGTTACAAGATCAACGTTAAAACGGCGGCAGATCTTTTGAACCACAGATAAAGTAGGTACCTACTAGTTATATTGAATCATAAAGGCGCCGACTTTGTATGAGTAAGTGTGAGTGAGTTTGTGAACGCAACCCGATGCGATGCGTGCGAGGCTATAGGAGTAGGGTCACAGGGATTCCCCGATTTTAACGAACGAGAGAGTCAAGCTAAAACAAAACAATTGAACAATCATTTGATTGAAAGTGTGTGTAAGGTGCGCATTGAACTTTTTACTGACTTTAAAAAAAGGAGGAGGTACACAAAGCACCGCTAATTAGTTGCAGCGCAACACATCGACACAACTATCATTTACACAATATACATGTGTGGGTAATTTCATATCAATAGATATGTATAGAAACATTCGTCTATCACACACATCTTGGTATTTAAATATCATTTTTGTGTCGGTATACGTAATAATTTAGTAAATAAGTTTAAATAAAAACGAGGGTAAAGATAAAAATACTCATAACAAACTTTGAATAAATCGAAATCAAAAATAATGAACGATCGAGCTATACAATACCCATATAAATATAGTGCTTTCTCATTGTAATTTTATGTTACTGAATGATATACAATATTTCGATGATCTGATCTACAGCGCGCTTGGCGCAATGGTTATCACCTCCAATTGTCAAGTAAAGTGCCGCCGGATCGATTCCAGCATTCACATGTTGTTTTAGAATTAATTTATCAAATATTTGAAATTTGAAATTAGAAACAATTAAATCTTTTCTTTTTTTTCCTTTCCTATTGTTCTAAATCTTATGTTAATTTTAATAGTAAATACTTTAGATTTATTTATACCTCAGTATAATATCTTTGATTTATATTTTAGTTCTAGTTATTTATTTTTTAGAATAATCTCATTTGCTTCATGCATTTCAACCAACTTAAATAAGATAAAAACAGTAAAAAAGTAATTAACTGTGATTTCTTAATGGTTCGATACCTGAGTATAGAGGTATTTGCAATGTTTGTGGCGACCATAGAAATCTCGAGTCATTTTATTTTACCCGCTTATGAAGTAACTACCGACTATTTAAAACATGTTTTTCAAATCACCCGACTTACAAAATAATTGCGTTCTTAGTTGTCAATTTATGAGGATTTCATAGTTTATTGCTACACTACTTATATTCGTGTGCAAAGTTATTTTTATTTTTACAAGATGTTCCAACACCTATCAACATTTAAAAAGGCTGAAATCATTGTTTTGCATGAGCAAAACATAACTAACAATAACTGAAATAGCAAGGCGTTTAATGATATCGGTGAGTAAATAAGATACTACGTTGTTATTCTAAATAATATTTATTTCATTTTGTAACTTGACACACCTATCAATTTTTGCACTAGAATAAAATAATTATTGCAACTTATTATGAAGTTCAATATTATAAAGATATATTAATAATTTATTATTATCTTTAATATCTTTAAAACATATCTGGTTAGGGATTTTTATTCCTTACGCCACTACTTGATTATAAATTATTATTCTAACATTGTGTTTACTTATATTTATTATTATTTTTAAGTAACTTTAATTCCTGTAAAGTATTTCCTGGTATTTTAAATACTTATTTGTTTGGTATCAACAGAGGAGATCCATGCAGTTATGGGTGCACAGATATGCGGAGACCGGTGACGTTGAACATCGTCGACGTGGGCCTAAACCAAAGGCAAATTCATCGGCTCGGCACTACGACATCGTAGCCAGGCACATGGCTGATCCGTTCCTGCCAACACGCACTACAGCGACAGCACTGAATGTTTTTATACAAACTGTACGGAGACACCTGCATTCTGGTTTAAGGTGCAGGAAGCCAGAGAAGAAAATATTGTTATCTGTGGTTCACCAGCAAAAGCGCTAAGAATTTGCTAGGGACTTTATTAATTTTGATTGGGCGAACAGTGTAATCATATTGAGCGATGAAAAGACTTTCAAGTCGGATAAGGATGGGCGTAAAATATTGTGGAGAAAAGATGGAGAAAGGTATACGAATTGCAACCTTCTGCCTTGTAGGATCAGTGATTGTATTGATTTCGGAATCAATTATTGAGCCTGTCAAACTCTGCCTTTATTAAAATTAACATAAAATAATGTTTAATTTTTTTAAGAATATTAAAATGCTGTCTAGAACATACGGTGAAGTGATGTTATTGTTTTGTGGTTAGAAATTGTCATAATTTCTTTCTATTCAACTTGTTTATTCACTTTAATTTTTCATTAACAAATTTATTTAACTGCTTTCGAACTTGATTGACATATTATATTTACGCCCATCTTTAATTAATTTAAAGTTTCCCTGATTCTAAAGGGCATGAAAGTTAAAATCGTTCCATAGCATTCGTCACATTTTTTTTACTATCATACAGCCCACTGAATATTGAACCTTATAACAACCGTCGTAAAATAGATAATTAATGGAAGTTCAAACGACAAAAAGTCGCCCATTTCAAGAAATATTATGTTGACAGTGTAATTTTTTACATGTTTTACTTGTTTATTAGATACTTAATGTATTATTAAATTACAAAACAAGAATGTTGTATTTGTTTATTACTTAATAAAAAATGTTGCTGCCATCGTATTACCGCTGTACCGCATGATATTTCCCGATTCGACTATGAGGTTTATTGTCATATCTATTAATTATGATTTAAAGAACTTTAAACTTAACATGTGGTATATAATTAATTATTAGATATAAATATTGAATATAAAACAACATATTTGTATAATAAATAAATTAATTGTAATAAAAAATAGTATTGTTTTATTTACCAACTCATTTGCTTCTTTTATAGCCTGATATTTATATTTTATGACAAAAAACAAAAAAAAATAAGAAAAATAACAAGGTAAAATAAAATAAACTTTTAGCTGGAATAGAACCCACATCATTGATCCTTGATAGACGATAAAAGCGTGCTCATTAACCAATCGACCACGAGCACTACGATAATGACAGTGAAAATGTCGGGTCATATCAATGATTGTAAATAGTTTTAACCTTACCTATGCATTAAATTATAAAAATACGTATACCGACACAAGAATGAAAATACCAATGTGAACGTGGTGGACGAATATTTTTATACACAGTTATATGAAATTACCCACACATGTACACTGTGTAAATGACAGTAGTGTCGATGTGTTGCGCTGCAACTAATTAGCGGTGCTTTGTGTACGTATGTTCGGCTGATTGTTTTTTTTTTTCAGTACTCCGCCATATGTGAACCGATTTCGAAAATTCTTGTTTTGTTTGAAAGGGTATACTCCCGAGATGGTCCCATTTCCATGAGGTCAGGATCTGATGATGGGACCCAAGGGAAACCAAGGGGAACTTTTGAAAATTCTATGGGCGAGTACTGCGTCTATTTTGTTTTTCAATTACGATTTTTAAACACTACAATTTGATAAGGGTCTGGATTTGACCTGATGATGGAGCCGACAGACAGTCGAGGGAACTCCTCAGCGGTTTATATTAACTACCTTGTGTTTGTACTAAATTAATCAAGCCCAAGCATAGGGTAGTTAATAAAAACAGCTGAGGAGTTTTCGCTTGTGTCTGTCTCCATCATCAGGTCGACTCCAGACCGTTATCAAATTGTAGTGTTTAAAAATCGTAATTGAAAAACATAATAGACTCATTACTCGCCCCTAAAAATTTCGAAAGTTCTCCTCGGTTCCTCTCGGTTTCCCTAGGATCCCATCATCAGATTCTGAGCTCATGGAAATGGGACCATTTCGAGAGTATACCCTTTTAAACAAAATAAGATTTTTGGAAATCGGTGTACAAATGGCGGAGTAATGTGCAAACAAACAAAAAAAATCAATCAGCCGAACATAGCACCTCCTGCTTTTTTGAAGTCGGTAAAAAAGAGGCGCTCCATCGATTCCGCACACAGGCGCTGCCGGGGGTCGGCGCGGCCCTGGTTATTATGTCTACTTTCCGTTGTAATCACAACAATCATCGATATCGTTATCCTACTGCTACCATTAATGCGAAATTTTATGTAACTGTGTCTTTGTGTGAACTAAGTTGTAAATGAAAAAATGATATGAACTGACCATGTGGATCATAATAAAAAAGGATTTATCCAATTTGGTGCAGTCATTCTTGAGTTATGGGCTTATGGCGTGATCAAGATGAATAGAATCGCCGATTGGCCGTAAGTTCCACTGCCGGGCAAGTGGTCACGGGTTCGATTCCCGGGTCGGGCAAAGTATTACTGGGTTTAAAAAAAATTCTCAGTAGTAGCACGGAGTCTGGAATCGTGCCCGGTATATGGCAATAGGCTCACCCCCAATTACATGGGACTCATGACATAAATAGTGAAAAGTGGATGTTACATTGTACAGTGGCATAATGTGCACCTCTGCCTACCCCTTCGGGGATAAAAGGCGTGATGTAATGTTATTATTAATTTATTATTGTCTCCCTCCACAGCTACCTCTTCTTCTGGGACAAGATCGAGCGCGCCCACTACTGGCTGAATAACATCGTCGCCACCGCCAAGCAGGGAGAGCAACTCGAAGGAAGACTTGTGAACTTCCTCTTGAAGGTGCAAACTCTTATAGAATTACTAGAACTTGACCTCCACTGCTGAACATAGCTGGGTTAGCTAGGCCTTAGTTCTTACTTTTTTTATGGGACAAGCCAGCAAACGAGCCGACGGATCACCTGATGGTAAGCAATCGGCGTCGCCCATGGACACTCGCAACACCAGAGGCGTTACAAGTGCGTTACCGGCCTTTTGAGGATTAGGAATTGGGGTCATTAGTGAAGAGGGAGGGTGGTAGGTGGTAGTTGGGCCTCCGGTAACCTCACTCACAGGACGAAAAACAACGCAAGCGTTGTTTCACGTCGGTTTTCTGAGAGGCCATGGTATCAAATTGCTGATGCACCGGTACCGGGATGGTTTTAGTAGTGTATAATTTTACTTTTTTAATTATTTTTAAAAAGCGAGGCATTTTTATAGGTTTGACTTGATTGATTGGTTTAGTACCTACTGATTTATTTTAAACATCGCTACGGGATATTACTCTTGCGTCGTAGGTGCGTTAACAAACATACAAGTTACATACACATGACACCTAGATCCGAAACAACAATTTGTGATTCACACAAAGAGTTGCTCCGTACGGGAATTGAACCTAATTACATTTGATAACCAGTTACATAAATACCTACATCAATGCGGTTTTCTCAACACAACGAAAATATATCGAAAACCGCTTCCGTTCAAATAGAGGTCTTCTATAAATACTAATATAACAAACCACAATTATTATGTTCAATGATAGTACTATCATGTTTATCACAAACAATTATTTAATATGTGCCGAAGCATATCGCTGCAGTTATACTGATAGCAGTTATCATTGCATGTACTTATTGTGTAACCGTTGCAATCTGCTAACTGCCCTATTTTGATATTTCGTAAGTACCTTCTTACGGCGCTCTCACCCGCGCCTGTGTAACATAGTCTACCCCTGTTACACATTTCATCCTGATCCCTTCAGCCATATTCATGTGATTGAGTAACAAATCAAGAATAAAAAAAACAAGTGATTGAATGCCCCATTGGCCGAGTGGTCGCAAGTGCGATTGCCGGGTAAGGGGTCTCGGGTTCGATTCCCGGGTCGTGCAAAGTATTACTAGGTTATTAAAAAAATCTCAGTAGTAGCACGGAGTCTGGAATTGTGCCCGGTATGTGGCAATAGGCTCACCCCCTATTACATGGGACTCATAACATAAATAGTGAAAATTGGGTGTTATATTGTACAGTGGCATAATGTGCACCTCTGTCTACCCCTTCGAGGATAAAAGGCGTGATGTTATGTTATGTTTGTGAGTAACAAATATACACACAAACTTATAACATTAAGAGAGAAGTTAGAATTAAGATAAGACCTTCGCCTGTCAGTACCTATGCTAGTCCGCTGTTAGAATATCGACTTACACTCTTCCTCTTTAAGTTATATTTTAAAAATTCCTTTTAAAAAAAATGCTCTCATTTCAAAGGTAACTAAATTGCGTTTTATAGGACACTAGCTGTAGCCTACCAGTTCGTAGAATGTGATTCCTGTTTTATTATAACATTTAATCGGGATCAAAACAATGTCATTCAAATCGGTTAAGCAATGTAGAATGTTTCTGTTGATTGATTTTTCGTAATATTTAATACTGTTTTATCCCATGGGAGCATTTAATCGAGATAAAAAGTATCCTATCAGCTAAGTCAGCCCATACCCTGCCTGTATACCCATCAAAATCTGTTCAGTAGTTTCTGAGTAATTAGCGGATAAACATCCAAACCAAGGAACTTTCACATTTATAATATTTGTGTGATACGTTACCAATTAATAAGTTAATAACACACTTGTATTAGAAAATATTTATCAAGAAATGAAAAAGGAAAATCGCTAGTCGCTGTCTCTTTGCTCGTAAGTGTAGTTATGGATCAATTTTGACGGAAACTGTATACAAGTCGATTCTTATCTTATGTCAAAATTAGCTCCTGATCGAATTTTGCATTCAAATCGGTTAATAAAGTCGCCTTTTACAATATCCTCGGAAAGAAGATATCGTCAATGTGACGACAAATGTTTTTTACCCAGCCATCCAATGATCTCTTAGATTCCAATCCAAGTACTGATCTGTTTGCAGATGGAAGGAGATTTTATCAGAATGCTTAAAGTACTGCGAGGGAAACTGATGAATGGTGTTAATTCTTGTTTTAATTATGTCAGTTACTGTAATGTAATTGGGTTTTTTGTCGTTGTGACTATTTAAAAATAAATAAATAAATGCTAGAAAGAAAAAACTAGAAGGAGACCATTCATTCGGCACATTACATGCACAGAGATGTAGAATAAATTAAAACAAAAAATAATAATAGAAAAAATGCATACCCATACCGAACGGGCCCCAACATCAGCATTACGTTAAGCGCGGTAACACTCAACACTGGTTTTCGGGTCCCTGCAGGGACGCACGGACGGTACGTCGAAAAGGCACCAAATTAAACACACGGCTTTCAATCTTACGATCTGGCAATATAGTTGATAATCGTATACCAAATTATTACATTATTAGTTTTAACTTTGTGTTTACAGGACCCAATCAACGATGGCGGTCAGTGGGACATGATAGTGAATTTGGTCAACAAATATGGCCTCATCCCGAAGAAGTGCTTCGCTGAGTCGTTCAGCTCTCGTCGCAGCTTGCATATGAACGCTCTTATCAAGACTAAGGTAATAATAAATATTCATGTTGATTTTTGGCTTAGAATAAGGTAGATGACTAACTTAATGGCCGTATGCCCCTCCGCGCGGCCGGCCGTGCTGAGGAGCGGTGCATCACAAACGGGGCGCCGCATAACAGCGCGAATCATCGTGTGTGCAGGATGTGTTGCATTCAGCGTCCATTCTTGCCAGTGTCTGTGATATCAAACTGGTAAAATCCGCGTTAAATCCAACCGCGCGGACAGGCGCGTAAACCACCTTACTTTGCGGGGTACCGCTACAAAATCCGCATATGGGGATGACACTGACAAGCGTCAAATTTTACGTTAATCCCATATAATTCAGTTTTCAACCGACTTCAAAAAATGAGGAGGTTCTCAATTCGACTGTATTTTCTATTTTATAAGTAGACAAGCGCTAAATGGCATTTGGTTGTATTTATAATTAGGCAAAATTGACGCTCAGTCGTGCCGACTGCAGTTTCATCAAAAGGCATGTACTTACAGTTGAATACCGTACAATATTTTTCTTTTCTTATTTTTATCCTTATTCTCATTCATATTCTGCTTATTCCAGCTCCGTGAATACGCCAAGGAACTCCGCGACAAGGTGGCAGCGAACGCGTCTGATGACGACATCCAGTGCACCATACAGCAGCAGATGGCAGTCATCTACAACATCGTCGCTACTTGCTTAGGTATAATTGAGTAGTTTCCAGGGTATCGAAATTAAAAATCTAATTACTCCGTCAGTTAGATAATGAAAAAATATTAGACACGTATTTTTTTTATTTTCTCGTATTAAGTTGCAATACTTAGATAAAATGGCGCTAAGTTTAGGAGTGGGAGGTCATTACGTCATAACGTGCCACAAAATGTCTCGGTGCTCACGCTTCTCATGAGGAAGAACCCCTCTGTAGTTCGAAACTAGTAGAGCTTTTCTCAGTATATTCACGTGTGTAACCCGCGATTTTTAGTTAATTTAGTATGTCTTACGATAGTTATAATAAACACACGTGTTATTTTGGTATAATATTCATCGTATGTATATTCATATGCACATAACATAACATCACACCTTTTATCCCCGAAGGGGTAGGCAGAGGTGTATATTATGGCACTGTACAATGTAACACCCACTTTTCACTATTTATGTTATGAGTCCCATATAATAGGGGGTGAGCCTATTGCCATATACCGGGCACAATTCCAGACTCCGTGCTACTACTGAGATTTTTTTTTAAACCGAATAATACTTTCCCTGACCCGGGAATCGAACCCGAGACCCCATGCCCGGCAATCGCACTTGCGACCACTCGGCGAACGAGGCAGTATAAAAATTAATTCTGTACATTCCCTACACAGGCACCCCTCCAGAAAAGTTCAACTACGAGTACTATAACAAGGAGAAGGCGTACAACAGCTTCGGTTTGCTCACCCCGCAGGAGTTCTATGAGAAACATGTCCGCCCACTCTTCGATGTCAACAATAAGGTTAGAAATTTAATCACCTATATATATAAAAAAAAAACTAGCGACCCGCTCCTGCTTCGCACGGGTGCATGCATCGCATATGCATGTATTTATATATGTATATTATACATATTATTAATTACATACCTTAAGAATCAGTCTATCTATTAAAAAAACACATCAAAATCCGTTGCGTAGTTTTAAAGATCTAAGCATACATAGGGACAGACGGACGGCGGATAGCGACTTTGTTTTATACTATGTAGTGATGAAACCCTTTTCCTGTTGTCACGCCATAACTTTATAAGACAGAAAACGGGATTGTGCGTACGAAGTCGCGGGTAGGAGCAAGTTGTAAATAAATTCTAAGACTAAAAATACGTTACGGAGCTGCGGAAGCCTTTATGAGTTGCCGGGGCTCCGGCTCGAAGAGCAGGAGTAGGAACGGCGTGGTTTTTTAGTCAGTAAGATTCCGACAGTTTACTCTCGCAGCACCCAAAGCGGGACCAGTAATTTGGTGATTTTCCCCCCTCAAAAAAAGGGAAATAACTCAGTTTAGTAACAGTTGTGTATGATTGCATAAGGGTTTTTTAAGGGTGGGGGGGTAAAAACATCGAATGACTTCTCCCGCCTGGGTGAGGCGGGGGGAAGTGTCAGACTCTTACTGACTAAAAACCACCCTGGTTCTACTCCTGCACTTCGAGCCGGAGCCCCGGCAACTCGTTAAGTCCTCCGCAGCGTTGCATAACGAACATAAAAGTGCTATTTGGTAGTATTGCCAGATAATAATTATTTATCTGTTCAAAATATTTTCTTAATGATGCGTTTACAAACATTTCACATGAAGATCTTGGCCAGGGTGTAACCAGCAGTACTCGAAGTAGTTCATCTAAATGAGACTCTCGTTGTTCACAAAATGATTATATGATTTCCAAGCTACTTAAAATAGTCTGCCATTTTGAAACAATTCAAATTTTCGATCGTAATGAAATGGAAAACGCTAAACTAAAACTATAATATGTAAATGTATGTGTTTTTCGACAAGTTTAATTTGACCGAAATCTGTAATTGTCATTTCGGCTATAATTTATCAAGGAAAATTCACAATAAATAATCTACTAATAACAATTTAAAAATTTAAACATTAGAATTTTTGATAATGTAACAGAATATGTAACCAGTCGTGGAAGTCGCCTCAATGGCGTAGGTCTACTGCTCTATATTATTTACTTACCCTATAGTCCAATACCTACATTACAGGTATGCCTAGTATCGGACCCCCGACAATCGAACCCGTTCGGTCAGCTGTACACGCTGCACTGCCTCGGCAACATCGTCGGAGGACGACAGACTGCCTACAACAACCAGCCCATCGAGACGCTGATGACGTAAGAACTCCTTATTTCTTTAAAACAAGGATAAATAAAGGCCCATTTTTCAATCATCAGTTAAATTTTAACTGTAGAATAAAATTGACAGTTGTTAGTATGGAAGAATTGTCAAAGTTATTTATTTATTTATACTTTATTGCACACACAGAAAAAAAAAATTTAAACATTGCAATAGTAGTTTGAGTACAATGGGCGGTCTTATCACACGCGGCGATTTCTTCCAGATAACCTCCAACAGTTATTCCTCAGTTAGGATTAGGAATTAACTGATGATTGAAAAATCGGCCCTCGAATCGGTCTGGGAGAGCTATGCCTCGCTCAACCGGAGTGATACCATTGTCTCACAGAAAACCGACGTGGAACAACCGAGGCATTTGTGATTAAGGTGACTGAGGCCCAATGATGGCTACCGTTTTTTCAAACACCAGATGGCGCTAATTGGGTACTTTACTTAATCAAAAATAAATGATTTCGATTGTTCAATACAATGAAATGTTAAAAAATAATCACACTTTCATTAATTGATTTTATGGCCAACTTAATGTGAATATTTTATAGCAAATTATTAAGAAATAAATAAGCTGTTTGACGCTAAAAAAACGTGACGTCACCATACTGTCGTTTTTTACAGTTCGAAAAGAGTATTGAATTTGACTAGTTGGCAAGTACCCGATTTAGGATAATGTTTGTTGTCCAATCAATGCAGCTGTCAAAAATTCATAAACCAATAGTGTGATACTGGGTAATTCCGTATTAAACGAGGGGTTAACACTAACACTACCTTGTTAGCAATAAACTATAGTCTCCATTCCCCTTTCCTCAGTCTTCCCAATCCCTAATCCAACTCTCAAATCCCAATCCCCAAAAGGCCTACAACGCATTTGTAACTTCTCTGATGTCGAATGTCCATGAGCAGTGCTGATTGGCTACCATCAGGTGATTCGAATGCTCATACAAATGTGCACACACAATTTTTGTATAAAAAAATATATAAATAAATATTGATCTTTGTTTTCCCTTATATTCTAGTGCCGTGAAGGACAGCATTGCTGGAGGAGAAGCGGTCTGGTTCGGCTGCGAAGTCTCCAAGAGATTTGAACGGAAGAACGGATTTGAGGATCTGGATGCGTGAGTATTTTACTTGTAATAATTGTATGTATATTTAACTATATCACAAATTGCACTGCACGGTTAGTAGTGTCGCTGGTTCGATTCCCGCATGGAACAACTCTTTGTGTCATCCACAGATTGTTGTTTCGGCTCTGGGTCGTGAATGAGGAAGAGTCCCTCTGTGACTCGAAAGTAGTAGAGTTTTTTTCAATATATTTACGTGACTACCTCGTAATTTTTAAGAATTTTCGTAGATTCAGATCACATTTAAAAACTTTTATGACGTACTAACAAGAATATGTTTAAACACAACAGATTTAAGATTACATTTAGAAATTTTGACAATATACCAAATTATTATAATTGGTTGCTTAGGGGAGACGTGCTCCATCGTAGTTCCGCATCACTCACCACCAGTCAAGATAGTTGTTAGACATAGTAGCAAACCACCAAAATCGAATTTAAAAAAAAATTACGAATATTTCCTCACTTCCAGTCAGGATTACCGCTTAGTGTTCAACACGGAGGTGCAGATCGGTATGAGCAAGGCGGACCGGCTCATGTACGGGGACTCCTGGATGACGCACGCCATGGTCTTTACTGCCGTCGGAACTGATGTGAGTTACTAATAATTAAGTAAAATATATAACATACTGCCTCGTTGGCTGACAGGGTGCAAGTAAGGTAAACGAGGTAGTAAATAAGGTAGTCGCTATCTTAGTGGAACTCATATATATAGCAATGGGTGCGAAAGACAGAGACAAAAGACGTATGCTGTAATAATTAGTTTGTAACATGTGTTGAACAGGAGAAAGGCAATCCGCTAAAGTTCCGCGTGGAGAACTCGTACAGCGACAAGGAGTACGACAAGGGGTACTTGCTGCTCACCGCGCCGTGGTTCAGGGAGTTCGTCTTCGAGGTATGTTGAACACTAATATCATTTCCAATATTCAGACTGTAACTGCCGTACTCAGAGACGTTTAATGTTGTATTCCTTAGTAACGATTTTGTTCCTAAAGCCTGGGTGTGACCATTAAATTACTGAGTACGTATAATGTGATAAAATGATGGAAGACATTGCAGAGAAGATGTTCCTTTACGAAATTGTACGAGAGTATAAGCCGGCTCGACCGGAGTGATACCACAGCCGCGCAGAAAACCGCCGTGAAACAAACGTAGACCAACGCTTGCGTTGTTTATCCCCGACTCCTCCCCAAACCCTGAATCCCCAACTTGTTTACTTTAATTTGGTCATGTCATTTATTCATTGTAATCGTGTAAATCCGCAGCACGTTTGGATGATTTGACTAAACTTTTTCTATTCTACAGGTGGTAGTCGACAAGAAATACGTGCCGGAAGAAGTGTTGCAAGTATTTAAACAGGAGCCGAAAGTGTTGCCAGCTTGGGACCCGATGGGTACGCTCGCTTGCCCCTTCTGTTCCAAAGAATAGACCACCAAACGGTGGCAATATACGTCCAGCTATAGGTAGATGTGTCGACTGAACTGGCAACCCTTATTATCTCAATAGGGATGACGATAGGGTATGAAAATTTGGAATCTATTTAGTCCGTTAGTAAGATAATGAAAAAATATTACACACGCATTTCATATTTTGTCTTATAAGAAAATTAACAGATAAAACGAATCAAAGTTGAGAAGTTTAGGTCAAGGAGCTAGCTACGTCATTCCTAAGTACAAACCGTACCTAGAAGTGACGTCACGCCATATTTGAAATCGACAGTTTCGGCGAAAATTATTGTTTCAGAAAATACGTGTCTAATGTTTTTAAAAAATCTATAAAGCGGGCATTAAAAAAATTGAGTCGCCTTCCCTATTACAGGATGAAAAGAAGCAAGTCCGCTTCACGGCGGGTCCAAGTTGAATGAAGTCCATTCTGCCGCGAATTTTTAACCATAGATAAGATACACCAAGTAGGTGTTCGAAGTAGTATAAAATATATTTACCTAGTAATTTACTAAACGTAGATTCTTTGACACTTTTATTATAAGGGTTGCCAGTTCATAGTCGATTTAGTCTTACCTGTGGATATTACGTCTTTAGTAAAATGCAGCTAACCGCCGTACTCAGGGTCATTTAATGCTTACCCTCTTGTCTATTGAAAGTTGCGGGTATAATGTGTTTTATACCGGGAGCCGGTGTTTCAACAGATAAAAGGTTATTTTACACAGTCCTTAGCAATTGTTTTCGGAACAAAATCGTTGCTAAGGAATGGTTTAAGTAATCATTAAATCTCTGAGTACGAGAGTAGTCTCCAAATACTCAAACGCAACTCAATTTTAAGACGCGCTTAACCGCTTGAATGCCTATAAATGAGACACAATAGAAAATAAATTGTGTCTCGCATGGATCCACGTTTAGACACACGAAAGGTTGAGGTATATTGACCTCTATCACTACAAAGTCTTTGTAAAATGACAGAGATATTTAACTCTCTGAGTACCGTCATTATAGACACAACTAGCAAACCCGGCGAACTCCGTTTCGTTACCAGATGGCTTCGTTATATGTAACATTTCGTTTGGTGATTAGTGAATTTTCTATGCTTTAAACCTGACGGAGCCCGAGACTTTTCCAACGAATGCGAAACCGTGGAAATCGGTTCGTACGTTCTGGAGTTATAGCGTCAGGAAGGAAAACCCGACTTATTTTTATATAGTAGATTAAAGAACAATAGGTTGCGGTCACCGGTGTCCTCGCGGTGTTTGACAGTTTAAGTACAGTTTAAAATTGAGTAGTCTTTCAGTATTCGGGTGTAAGTTGCTTACCTACTATCCCAAGTTACTTGATCAGCAAAATGTATTCCATATTTTACTATTTATGCCTACCCTCTTACTACATAAGACTTGTAACTAGCGAAAACTAAATCTAGAAATATTCCTTCAACGAATAAAAGTGTTCCTATAAAATAAATAGTATTTCTAATATACGTAATGTTCACAGTATTGACTATTTTTTACTAAAGAGACATATTATCTGTAGTTTAGACATTTTCTACGGAAGCAATACATGTTTTTATATCGCAGTGTGAATTAATCATGCCTATATTATTACTAATTTCCAATTAAACCATTATTTTAACTTAGACCAATGTAATGAACTAGCTGAATTATAATCCATCTCCATTTTTTAATAACAAATAGTATAATGTTGCCTTAACAAAAATAACAAGTTAATATATAGACAAATAAATGGTGCTTGACTCAAATAATTTACCTTTAGAAAGTAAAAGAATCTCTTATATTTAAATTATAACTTTAAGATGCTCTAAAAACCAATTATTGCCATAAATATTGACTGATTTATAAAAGAGCCTGGTGCTCTTTTCTCTTATGGCAATACCAATAGTAACTCAGTATAGATAGAATATAATGTTAACAGATACAAAATACAAAATGGAGATGGAATTTATTAAATATTTATATATTTACCATTTTTATATTACAATTGTGTTCAGTATGTTACCAAAACCATGTTGCTATTTTTTGTAGACAGAAATTTAAATTTCTTTATTTTTATATTGCCATATTGCATTCTTAAACGGCTTTTGTTATGAATTTACCATCAACAATATAGTCGCCGCCGGATTATCATTATTTCATAAATAAAAATGTTTGAAATGCATTTTGTTTTTTTATTAAAACCTGCCTCGTTGGCCGAGTAGTCGCAAGTACTACTGCCGGGCAAGATTTCCGAGACGGGAAAAGTATTACTGAGTTTTTTTTATTCTCATTAGTAGCACGGGGTCTGGAATTGTGCCCAGTATATGGCAATAGGTTCACCCCCTATTAGGCGTTTCCACTGACGTGGAGCTGGGCGGAGAGGAGCTTAGCGGTGCACAAATTAACCTATAACTATTTTTGAAATCTCCGCTCCGCTTCAATGGAAACAGTACGAGCGGGGTGGAGCAGAGCTGAGCGGATATTCATACAGCCTGATGCAGCGAGCATTGGGGTGCAGAGCGGAGGACAGCGGGGCGGTACAGAGCGGGGCGGTGCGTCATCACACGTCTGATAAAAGTTGAAAATTCTCCATGCACAGAATGGTACTTTATATGTTGTCGAATCTAGAATCTATGTTTTCTCTTCGAATCCAAAAAAGTCGCATCAGTCAATGCTACTCCATCTGATTCGTTATCTTCGTCTTCAAGTAGAGAAGATAGATATAAAATAAAAGTATAATATAAAAAAAAGAAAAGAAAGATATAAAATGATTGCTTTTTCTTTTTAAGCGACAACATGACGTATGGTCTTTTCGAGAAATTGAGTGTAACTAAGTGCAAAAATGCACGATTCCAAAAATATGCTCCACTTCGCTCTGCTCCGCTCACTAACCACTCACCGCTCTTCATCGCTCCTCTCCGTCCAGCTCCGCTTCAGTGGAAACACTGACCACTTTGCACCGCTCTTCTTCGCTCCTCTCCGCGTCAGTGGAAACGCGGCCTTACATGGGACTCATAACATAAATAGTGTAAAGTGGGTGTTACATTGTACAGTGGCACAATGTGCTCTGCCTAGCCCTTCGGGGATGAAAGGCGCAGGGCCGGATTTAGGGGTCCAGAGGCCTCGGGGCAACAAAAGAGTGGAGGCCCCCTTGCCCCAAATTATTTTCCAGATTGCGATCGAGGACGCTCGCTTGATTTCGAGGACGCTCGAAAACGATCGAGGACGCTCGATTGATTTCGAGGACGCTCGATAGATTTCGAGGACGCTCGATAGATTTCGAGGACTCTCGATAGATTTCGAAGACGCTCGAAAACAATCGAGGACGCTCGAAAACGATCGAGGACTCTTGATAGATTCCGAGAACGCTCGAAAACAATGGAGGACGCCCGATAGATTTCGAGGACGCTCGATTGATTTCGAGGACGCTCGATAGATTTCGAGGACGCCCGATAGATTTCGAGGACGCTCGAAAACGATCGAGGACTCTCGATAGATTTCGAGGACGCTCGAAAACGATCGAGGACTCTCGATAGATTTCGAGGACGCCCGATAGATTTCGAGGACGCTCGAAAACGATCGAGGACTCTCGACAGATTTCGAGGACGCTCGAAAACGATCGAGGACTCTCGATAGATTTCGAGGACGCTCGAAAACAATCGAGGATGCTCGAAAACGATCGAGGACGCTCGATTGATTTCGAGGACACCCGATAGATTTCGAGGACGCTCAAAAACGATCGAGGACGCTCGATTGATTTCGAGGACGCCCGATAGATTTCGAGGACGCTCGAAAACGATCGAGGACTCTCGATAGATTTCAAGGACGCTCGAAAACGATCGAGGATGCTCGATAGATTTCGAGGACGCTTGACAGATTTCGAGTTTAAGAAGTGAAGAATACCAATGGGGATGATGACAGGGTATGAAAATTAAAAATATAATTAGTCCGTAAGTTAGGTAATTAAAGAAAATTAGACACGTATTTTTTTATTTTGTCGTATAATAAAACAATACTTAGATAAAACGAATCAAAGTTTAGGAGTGGGGGCTAAAACGTCATTTCTTAGTATAAAATGTACTGAGAAGTGACGTCACTCGACATTTCAAATCAATATATCTTCGAAACTATTCGTTTCCGTAACAAAATAAAAAATACGTGTCTAATGTTTTTAAATAATCTCCCAGACGGACATTCAAATAAAAATTAGTCGTCTACCCTATTGTTCACATACTGCAATTAATTTTTTTAATGGTCGAGACACGGAATCGAATAGCCAACCTCCGAGGTTGTGGGCAAGTACCATCCCACTGAGCCATTGAGCCATTGGGGTACTCCCTCAAGATGGGTAGTAAATTGGAAGTGCTTATCAGAGCCATTTGAGATTTTGATATTTCACTGATTGCCTGATTGGAGTGAACAAATATAGATCAATGATTTCTGTTTCTGTTAATATTTAAAATTAATATAATCAAATAATCATGTATGTATAAAGTACTTTAGGCTGTAGGTAAAGGTAAAAGCGAAAAAAAAAAGTATCAAAGAAAAGATGTTTACTAGGTTTACTAATTGAAATTTGAAAGATTTTTTTTCCGAAGTCTATTGTGGAGGCCCCCTGCTTGTGGAGGCCCCGGGGCTTTCGCCCCGGTTCCCCCCCCCCCCCTAAATCCGGCCCTGAAAAGGCGTGATGTTATGTTATTAAAACCTGATATGCAAAATTGTATATAACTAAAGAATTGTATTGTGAATCTGATTGAAAAAGAGTAACCTATGGAGTTTCTTACTCGTTCTTCTCCATAGGAATCTACACATTTGAATGAGCAAATAGCTTCACTTTTCAATTTTTGTTGACGTTCAAAAGTGCCTTCCTGGTCGAATTGAAATAAATGGTTTTGACTTTTTTGACTTTTGAATAATAATTATCGAAAAATACACGGCAAAGTTGTTTCCTACCTATTAGTCGTCTTCGATGAACTATAAGTTATAATAT